TTAAAGTTTTGCTCTTTTTCTTTTAGATGCTTCATTTTCTTTCTGGAAATCTCTTTTTACCATCTCCCACTAGGGGGCGCCTTTAATCATCTTTCATTCTCATAACAAGGATGTGCTGCAGTGGAAACTCAGCCTGGGGAGCTAGAGGACTTTTATCAGACCACAAGAAAGCATAAGTGGAACCAATACTTTAGGATCAGCATAAGAACACCTCTATCAATTACAACTGTTTGTGTGTAAGCCTTATTTTGTAAAAAAAAAAAATAAAAAAAATAAATAAAAGAGAAGAAGAATTTTAAAAACATTATTAAGCACGCAGTGTAAGGTAAAAAAAAAAAGCAAACCTCAACCTTAAAATACAGGATAGACTTGAGGCTAATATTTTTTCCATCTTATTTTAAAAAGTCGAAAAAATCCAGGTTTGGGTGTACATCTCTCTCTCCTGCTCCTCCTCCACCTCCTCCTCATCTTCTCCTCTGCCTCCTAATAATAAAAGGCACTTTTTGTCCTACCTTACTTGCAGCAGATTTTTTTCGCCTGTGATTTCATAAAAGATTAAAGTAAAATAGAGTTTTATTTTATTATTTTTTGTAATATACATAATGAAAAAAAAAAACAGAATTAAAATACAGATACTCACAGAGCAACCTTAGTTCCCTGGACTGCTCTAAGCTGCCAATGATGATGTCAGACAAGCTAAAAGTAAACTCTGACCAATTTTCTCAAAGTATTCCTTATTCTTCCTGCAATATAGTTTAGCATGCTTTTAAGGATACAAATTTGTACTTTAAATAGAGTAATTTCATTATTTATGGTGATCCTGATTAATATCTGGCTGCAGGTGCATAAATGGGCTGATGCTTTCGATTGCCCTTCCAGTGCAGATGGAATATTGTCACTGCCAATCCTTCCAGCACGTCCAGAGAGTAAAACACTGCTTATCTAACACTGCTGATAGTGGGAGTGTAGATCTGTTCACCTTGGCTGTGGTGCCCTTATAGAGGCGCTACAGGAGTATAGAGTCAGAGACTCAGTTCTCAGCTCCACTAATCTGGAACAAACTAGAAAATATAAAGCAACCCAAGTCGCTTTAAATCAAGTTAGAGAACATAATTATTTAGAGTGATATTTGACTGTACTATCCAAACATTATGTTATTGTGACCGAGATAATGTTAAAGGAGAGACTTGGAGTAAAGATGCTTCTCCTTCTTACAAGAGGAGTCAGCTTAGGTGGCTCTGGCATCTGTGCCAGATGCCTTCTGGACGCCTCCTTCAGGAGACGTTCCAGACACATCCCACCTGGAGGAGGCCCACAGGTCCAGCACATGCTGGAGGGAGTCTGCCGCCTTTCTGGAAATGGAATACAGTAGGATTCCCTCAGATGAGCCGAGAGAGGTGTCTAAGGAGAAGAAACTCTGCAAATGTATTCATATTTCCAGCAGTCTGCCACAAAAAGGACATACAGAGAAACAAAGAACTTCGATCCACCATTCAACATGTAACAGTTCCAGAGAAGTTTAACAAGTATCAGTGTTACATACAAACTTATCTCATGTTAATAAATGTTGAGAAAATTTTAATTTTTTATCAAGAGTGTAAATACATCGTTTCTACCACTTTGTTCTATTGCAGTGGATTGAGAAAACTGTTTGGTTTAACTCTAATAACATATGAAGGTAGACTGCAACTTTCATCCAATCAGAATGTGGATGCCTAATCCAGTAGGTGGCGGTATATCGCTAATTTAAGACTGCTGTATGATCTTTGGATTCCCTTTCTCATAAATAAGAGTCCAGCAAAATGTCATTATATTTGGCCTCCGGGCAAAATTTATATTCCCAGAATATAATTAAAATGAAGTGAATGTAGTTTCAGTGGCTATAATATTGAATGATGCTTAATGGGAATTGTAACTTAATGAGTAAGCAAGTGAAATAAGGAATATGACATACTGTTTTGGTATTTTGTTGTTAGATAAAATCTCAAATAAAAACAAGCAAATATCTGATTTTCCTTTCAATTAAATAAAGTTTTCTTGTCATTATCTTGGCACCATGGGCCGGGTTTTACTCCTTCTCCTTTGCTCCTCCCTGGCCTCTCATCAGGTCCACCCATTTCTCCTGCTATTTATGCCACTGCTCTTAGTCATTATCAGCCCATCATTCTTAGTCACTGACCTGAGTTTTCTATTCCAACAGAAGATCGGGTTTATCCATTTCAGATGACTAGCAGCCCCAAGCCCTTCTTAAATAAAGACCGTTTAAACTGTTTGATCTGTCTGTTTTAAATATTGGATCCAAAGTTTCGAGCTCTTGAAAGAATAATCTGGCCGTTGACATTTCTACTTGAATGTCCCGATAAGAGATCCTAATCCTTCCGTAAAACAACTTTTTTATAAAAGCCTCTTATATAAAGAAGTGTCTGCATTTAAGTGGTGCAGTAAAAGATTTTATTGGTTTATAAAGCTAGAAAACAAGGCTTATATTATACAACAGCATTCAATACAGAAATATTTACATTTAAATGTTTCTAGGCACATATTGTCTCATTTCTTCTCAGGGACGGTCATCTCAGAAATAAATGTTTGATGGAAAAATGTATTTTTGTTTTGCACTGAATCTGATTTAAGAGTTAATAAACAAAACAAAAATTATTATAAGTTATTAAAAAGTATATTTACAGAACAAAGGAAGCTTACAGTAAACTGATAGACCACTAGGATTAAATTGGTAAAAAAAAAGTGTCCTTTTACAGTGAGATAGAAAAAAAAAATTTCTATAATAGCTGCAATTTTATATTAATATATATAAATTCTCATAACAAATTAAAGTGAATAAATTCTATACAGGTCTGGTCAGGTGGATGGAGAATAGACAGCTGATGACATCACTGGCGGTTGTGATGGAGGATCTCTGCTATGGATGAAGCTCTGAAAACACAAAAAGTACAAATATCAGATCTCTGCTAATATCCATGTAATTTTTCATCAGGTGTGTTGTGAATTGTTTATTATAACAATATTCTATAATAAAAATATAGTTTAATACATATGAACTAAACTGATTTTACAGTGAATCACGTAATAATGTCTTTGGTTTGGTTAAAGACACTCTATTCTTTATGAACTTTGAAAAGATGAGAGTTTCACCTGCTTTTGCTAGCCTTGTAATTTGTCTGGCCAGTGGAAGCATATCTCATTGTAAGGTCCTATGTCATGGAGTCTGATGGTTGGAATCACCTCATCATGGCAGACATGGATTTACAAGGCAACGGACAGTGTTTCCTTTATTTAATGTATTTTCTTTTATACTTTGAAAGTCAGTCAAAGCTGTTGGTATTTCTATGTTCACTAGGTTCCGAGAGATGGAACCAGTGTTGGAACACCACCACCTCCTTCAGAGGGTACGTCTCCATGATACTGACCCAGTACCCACCGGTACTGTGACCGAGTTCGATGGCCTGCTGGCCCACATTGGAGAATGAATCACCCATAAAACAGAGGGTTAGGTGAGATGGCATTCTGGAGCAGGAGGAAATGAGTGCCAGAACACCTGCAGAAAGAAAACCAGACCCGGGAAGAGGCTGTCAGCTGTGTACCGATCTGGAACTAAGGAACCACAGCAGGAGATAGACGAGGCCTGCAGGGGAAAGACCACACTAGGGTGGGAAGAAATAGCAGCAGCTTCCCACTCTAAACTAAGAAAAAGAACAGAGAAGCACAGCAGTAGATAGGGGAAGCTCACTGGGAAAACAGCTCGAGTGTGAAGAGGCTACATATGGTTGGCGATAGAGGCAAACTGCGATGGATCATAAGAGCACAGCGGCAGATTGGTCAACTCCACTGGGCGACAGAATGCTAAGGACAGGGTAGGAAGGCCGCCCAGAACTATGCCAGTGGTACAATGGAGAAGCTTGTTAGTGAGACAGAGTTAGGAGAGGCAAAGGCTGGCAGAGGCCAACTGTGGGAGAGGAAAGGATTGCCACGGAGGACCAGTAAGGCTCCCCCAGCAAACAGCAGTAGAGCTGAGAAGAGAAGGCATCAGCTGACCGGTGTACGCCCTGGAGGTAGGACGAACAAACAGTTCTTCGAACTAAATCAAAAGCTTTTATATCCCACTTAAAATCCTCTTAAAAGCATTTCAACTTCATCTTGTTAGGAATCCAGTTTGTT